CTGATACCTTCCTGTTTGTTTGTTCCAGCATTTATCTGAGCTGTGTTTATATTGCAGGTAAACTAAAAGATCTTGGCAACTTGGTTCTGCGACCTTTTGGGCTCTCCACAGAAAATTTCCAGATCAAGCAGGATTCTTCTACTGGCTCCTACTCCATCAATTTTGTTCAAAATCCAAATAATAATAGATAACAGACATAACAGTAGTCATAAAGGCTGACTGGGAGGCCATGAACTGTTCACAAGGGACAAGACCCTGCCAGTGTTATAATGTTTAAAAGCATCTTACCCAAAAAAGGCTGTGTAGTAGAGCCCGAGCCACCTCCTTGCTCTTATTTTATGATCAGGGTGGAATGTGCCTCCTGGTGTAATGAGCCTCGTTATTTCCATTTTAAGGTGGTGTCTGTGCAGCTGCTGTCCCTGGTTTTGGCTGGTTTGGGGTTTTGTTTGGGTTTTTTTTTTTTTTTCTGGTGTTTTTGGCCTGGAAGAAGCCTGCTTGTCAAGGCTGACCTCTTAGAGCCATACAAATGTGCTCGCCAGCAAAAGCCTCTCCCTAACCATGCAAGCCTGTCAGTTGGGTGATGACCATTTGCTGGACAGGGCCCCCTCCTGCTGCCCCTCCCTGCTCATACTCTTTCAGAGGCTGCACTATAGGGACTTCAGCATTCCTGAGTTCCTCTGTGTTAATAAAAGCTTTCTGCAACAGTTGGGGACTGCATTGTTACTTTGTTTCCATAACAGCAGCTGAAACAGACTCTGACATTCAGAACCAGTTCTGCTTTCAATCAAGGTCACTGATTCTGAACCCACAAGTCTAATGAAGATTTTTGCTGCTTGACTATCTTGAATAAATGACCCAGTGTGCCAGAATTCAGGAATCCTGTCTCACAAGCCATCTGAGGCAACCTTTAGCTTTGTGTGGCTGTAAAATTAGTGATTCTAGGCTGGAGAGATGGCTCAGAGAAGAGCACTGGCTGCTCTTCCAGAAATCCTGAGTTCAATTCCCAGTAACCACATGGTGGCTCACAACCATCTGTAATGAGATCTGGTGCCCTCTTCTGGTATGCAAGCAGAGCACAGCGTACATAATAAATAAATCTTTAAAAAAAAAAAAAAAAGTGGTTCTGACCAAGCATCAGTGCTAATCTCAGCTTAAAACAGCTTCCTTGAGATTGGTATGCGTTTCCAAACGGAACCTGTTCAGACTGCATTAAGGCAGAAGTTGCAAGGAGAGGTTGGGTTGGTTTAGTTTTCCTTAGGCATCTGTTGATGCTAGTGAGTTTTTAGTTCTTAACTGACATCAGGGACATGTGGACCTTATTTTGGAGATGAGCTGCTGTCATTCTGTGAGCTGTGTGGGACAGCTACCTTGGAACTCGCACTATAATCTAGGTTGGCCAAAAGCACCTAACACCAAGTACCTTTTGGCCAGGGTTTCTGTACAACTTGTGTGATTTTTTTCCACATAATACCCTTTTCAGGGAAACAATGCCAGCTTTAGCATGTAGACGGCAAAGCTAAGTATAGTAGCTGATACCTGTAAACCTCAGTCAGCACTTGAAAGGCTGAGGTACAATGATCACCACAAATTCCAGGCTGATTTAAATTTCAGTCCTGGAAGACAGGCACGGGAAATCAAGGGTTTCACACTGCACACCTTCCCCTAGGTTCCAAGGCTTTCAGGAAGAGACCCAGGACAGGGCAGGACCTCAAGGCCTCTGTGTTTGTGTGAGTTTATATACACACCTTCATGCAGGGCTCACAGAGGCCAGGAGAGGACATAGGGTTCCCAGAAACTGAAGTCACAGATGGTTGTGGGCCCCCATGAGGATGCTAGAAAGCAAAACTGGGTCCTCTTCGAGAGCTACAAGCACTCTTAACTGCTGAGTCAACTCTCCTGGGATTCTACCTGCCTGTGTCTCATGGTGGCTATTTGTATTTTTAATTTGAGACAGGGTTTCTCTAACCCTGCCTGTCCTGGAACTAGCTCTGTAGACCAGACTGGCCTTGAACACAGAGATCTGCCTACCCCTGCCTCTTGAGTACTGGGATTAAATGTCTTTGCCACCACCGCCTGACCGCTTTTGTTTTCTTAAGACAAGGACTTAATCAAAGTTAGCCTCAGCTCCTCTATGTGGCCCAAGATGCCCTTGATGATCGTCCTGCTTCCACCTCCTAAATGCCAGCATGACAGATGTGCCACTACACCGATTCTAAAGAGCTACAAAGTAACCTGTGTCAGTGTAGGAAGTGGGCATGCTTTTTCTCATGTTCCACAGACATCAATGGGAGGTAGTGAAAGGGCATCGAATTCATCTGTTTTCCCTCTGGTCAGAAAAGCACTTGATACCCTGGTGTTTCTGATCCTACTTAACTAGCTGGGTATGGTGGCACAAACCTTTAGTCCTAACCCTCTAGAGGCAGAGGCAGACTGAGTTCCAGGCCAATCATGGCTACAGAGTGAGATTCTATCTCAAAAATAAAGGTATGGCCCCGCTGTTACCAGGACTTTCCAACAATGCTCTGTTGGGGAAAGCGTAATTCTGACAAACACGGAGGGCTCCACTAGGATCGCTCAGCAGTTAGTCCAGCAGTGACACCCATGAAGCTGCTCTGCTCGGTCTTAGTCACGTAGAACACCTTTGGCTGTGTGCTTGTCTCCTGGTTTCAAGTTTTCACGTCTTGCTTTATACTTTGTCTTTAGACTTTCGGAAGTTCCCATCTGTCCTGTAATCTCAGTGTCCCCATCCCCTCTGGTTATATTTCCGCCATTTCTGATATCTACACCCACACCATATGGTGACTTTCACCTGGGTACTTGTCCAATGGTGGAATGTCTCCAGAGGCTTGACCAAACTTAGGGCTTTTATACAGTAAATTCATACTCATGTGAGTCTATTCAGCTCACCATAGATTACTTAATTTTTCACTTACATTGTGAGTTTATACCACTGTTATTTTCTCCTTCCACTCTTAGGATCCTGAATGCCCTCCCACACTGTGCTACGGATTTAACTCAGGATTTAGACATACTAGGCAAAGGCTCAACCACTGAGTTCTAACTCTTAAGGCCCTTGTGTCTTGGACAGCTTAGACTTCTGTAGAATGCCTAACATTCAACTTGTGGTCTTCCTACCTCAGCCTCAGTTGACAGACCCAAACCACAAATCATGGTTCAAATCTGTTTTCTTTTTCTGCATGTGCCTGTCTTAACAGCACTGCAGCCAGTTTGGACACTTTACTATGTGTGGACACAGGCTGGGCCATTGCTAAGCCTGGCCTCATGACTCATGTTACAGTAGTGAAACTACATCTAAGCTTCAGCAGAATGCCAAGACATTGGCTCTTCGGAGTTGCTCAGGTATACAACATTGTGCTTGTCTTGGCATAGAAGATAAGGACCACTTTAAAAATGTTAGCTGGGGGTTGGGCAGTGGTAGCGCACACCTTTAATCCCAGCACTTGGGAGGCAGAAGCAGGCAAATCTTATAGGTCAGCCTGATCTACAAGAGCCAGTTCCAGGACAGGCTCCAAAAGCTACAGAGAAACCCTGTCTCGGAGATTTAAAAAAAAAAAAAGTTAGCTGGGCTGATGGGTTTTTTGATGCTGAGTCCCTGATTTTTGCCTCTAAAACTGCTATCAGTTCACACGGTATTCGAGCTGGATATGGGCGTTTTGGTGGATTCTGAATGGACAACAGGGTGGGAGTGAATAGCAAATGTTAAACCTGAAAGATAAATTTTTTTAAAGTATTTATATGTATGCAGTGTTCTGTCAACATGTAACCCTGCAGGCCAGAAGCGGGCACCAGATCTCATTAAAGATGGTAGTGAGCCACCATGTGGTTGCTGGGAATTGAACTCAGGACCTCTGGAAGAGCAGCTTGTGATGGTGACTGTCAGCAGGTCACTCCTCAGTCAGCTGCTAGCTCTCATTGCTAGAACTGCTATCAAACCCTGAGAGTAGGAGGCCCTTAGGTTGTCAAAAAAGATGAGAAGGAAACAACACTTGAAAAACAGCTGCACTGGAAAAGCAGCACTGTTCTGCTGTGGGTATAGTGCCAAGCTGATACTCAAGCTGGGCCATCGCCTGGGCTATACTTGGCACATCATGCTCCAACAAAATGAGCTTCCAGTCAGTACCTTCACCTTGAAGCCAGAAATCCACAAGCTCAGAACTTGAACTTTACAGCAATCCTCAAAGGCTAGGGCTGGAAGGACTCAATGAAGCAAAACAGTATTTAGATGTTGATGACGTGGGCTTTATTACTGTCTGTCAGACACAGTTTGCAAGCATGGTTGGACCGCCCCAGAATAATGTGCTATTGGCAGTTCTGCCTCATGAACTGATGCAGACTCCAGTGGCTCTTATGAATATTCAGCTCAAGTGAATCAAGCAGTGTTTGAGATTAAAGATTCCATATATTCTTTGTAGTACCAGGCAACCTTCTAAAGGTTTGCTTTACTGAAATGGGGAGGTCTTTATCAGTCAGTGTCTCACACACACACACACACACACACACACACACACACACACACCTCAATTGCCTGATAGGTTTTCTGAAACAAATTTTTTCCTGACAACCAAGAGTTTCTGGGTCACAGGTCAATCCTATAGGCTGTGGTAGAAATCAGTCTGTTTGGGTAAAATTCCTCCTGGAGGGGTAGGGGTGCTTGAAGTTGGTATGTATTTGATGACCTTGAACCATAACCCTGAGTGCTGAGATTTGCAGGTCATGTACCCACCCGTAATGTGCGTTCCCCACTCTAAGGCAGCTGCTTCCATCAGACTGCAGCCAGCCTCCGCCTAGTCACAGGAGACCCATGAACCCTGAGTGCCCGAAACCTGCGGTGTTTCTTAGGAAGCAACACTACTTCCCAGAACACACAACTCAGCTGAATTTTAAAGCTGTTTTGTTTTTAAAGAAAAAACAAAAACCACTTTTAAAGGTAACCCCTAAAAACAGCTAACCCCCTACACAGCAAAACAGTTTTTAAATAATTAAATAAAAAAAATCAAAGACTTTATTGGATAACATTACACAACATTCTTTAACATTTAACTCTGAGCAGATGGAAGGTGAGAACAATGTGTCATTCAAGTCTACAAATGAAATAGGCCTGTGAGGATTTGAAATACAGACAAGGTAGCATGAAGCAGAGCTTAAATATTAAGCAACTAAAGCAATAAAAATGAAGTTGTAACATGGTAGGTCTAGATTTTAAATACCACCAAGTGTTTTTTTTTTTTTTAATGAAAATCTAGTTTGTAATAAAATGCCTTTAAGGATTTGTCATGAAGAAAAAAATATGTAGATTCTTAAAACCTGATCTTTCCCAGTGCTTTTGCCTTCTTAATATTACTTTTTGGTCAATTCCATTACTCTACAAATAAAGATTTCTAAAGCTTAAAGGTTTCCTGATACAATCCATGCATATGTCACATGGCTTGGGAGACACCTGGTTCCTGAGTGAGCATAAAGTTACTGCTGGTGTTGGGGTCTAAGACCAGACTGACCCCAGAGCCTGGAGCTGTGCTTCAAGTCTTCCCACAGCTCCCTGCTGTTATAGTTCCTGAGCCCATGTGATAAGATGACGTCATGATATAGATCCAAAGAGATCATTTGTAAAATGCAGTCAGGACTTGCCAGCACTTGCAGTGTGTTAGGATCTGAATTAAGCTCACTAGACTCCAGACTACCCGGCTTTTCTTCTTGAGTTATATAGCAAATCACAGTCAGGTATATTAAACAATCTAAAAATCCCACCTAGAGCATTTATTAATCCTGAGCAATGGGCTGTTGGGTAATCTCACCCACACAGAAAGATCACAGAAAGTGAACTCTTGAGCCAAGTGCTCGCTCCTCTGTTGTGTGTCTTTGAATGAGTTTTGTGAGTTAGTTTCTTTTCTTTTGGCTTTTTTTTTTCTTTTTTTCTTTTTGTAGTAAGTAATCAATATGGTGTTATCTTTCTGGTTTAAAAAATAAATCAGTATTGCCACTAAAAATCTTCAGTTTTATTATTAAAATTACGGCACCATCAAATATAAAATGCTTTAAAAATGTAGTACTAACAGGTCCATCTGATTTTCTCATGTGTTCTCCATTTATTAAACAAAAAAATTAAGGATTTTCATAATATGTATGTAAGCAAAGACAAGGAAAATCTGTGGTCTCTATTAAGAATTCATGTTCCATGCACCAAACGTTTAGGCTGTTTTCAAGGATCTGTTTCTGCCACTTGTCCCCCAGGGCCAAGTCTTCCCTGACACCTGCGAGAACTTCCTGCACTGAGAAGTAGGGGCCTCCTGCTGTGGAAAGAGGTCCAGATCAACACTGATGCTGGCACCCTTTCTCAACAGCACCACTCAGTAGGGGAGAGGCGATAATCAAAGCCTGTCCAGCTCAGGAGAATGATGAGCTAGTTCTTGGGAGTGTACAATTTCATTCCAAGGTCAACACTAGCCTATCCACTTGGGAGTCAAAATATGAAAAGGTAAGAATGTAGTTATGAAAATGTGCACAAAACGTTAAATACTAGTGGCAAATAAATACATCTTAATATGCTCTAACAAGCAAACATATATTCAAGATAATACAGCCCTGTTTTATTAAAAAAAAAAAAAAAGAGAGAGAGAGAAGATCCACATTTTACTTGTGGGTGGGACGGGGCACTTAGCCATCCTTTCAGCAGGATGTCAGATCGTCTTCCTCTTGTTTCCATGGGCACCTGAAGGAAGCAGTGGCCTTCTCACACGTGACCACTGCTGTTTCACAGGAGCACCATTTAAACACACCTCTGCTTACTTCTGAACTGATAAACATAATCCTTGGAGAAAGCACAAAGGTTAAGTATGCAAAACAATTCCACATTTCTGTACCATCCCATGCCTGGTAGGCCTGTCCAAACTACTGTTCACATTCAAAAGAAGCTATCGTCAGTGATTCTTCCACATCGCACTGAGTGCATCCTGCAGGTGTTCACACCACTTTTCTCCTCACCTCATGCATAATTTATTGCAGCAGTTTGTTTCTTTTATACATATAAAAATTCCCTAATACCTTCTCTTCCATTCAGTCTACTCTGCCAGTGCCCTGTACAGATGACTGGTTTAGCCACTGCTTTAACATTTACTTCTTAGTGCAGCTTCACACTCCCATCTTAGCCAGTCCTGATTGATGTTCTTGCTCTGTCAAAGTGGCACACATCCAAGAAGCCAGCAGTCTGTTAATGTCTTTGTGCTGAAATACAATAAACAAAAGGAAGAGAATGTAGTTAAGCACAGGTAATAACGTGAGAAAAAGAAGCCCACAGATCGTGGGGTCACACCGCATTTCTTTTAAATCACAAGTTTGACTTTTTAAATGCAGTAGAAGCATTAGCTGACCAAATTCCATCACACATGGCTATCACCTTAGTCCTTTTCTTAGGAATATTTGCAGGAAAAGTTTGACTTTTCTTTTGTTTATTTTTTCAAAGCAGGGTTTCTTTTTGTAGCCCTGGCTATCCTGAAACTCAGTCTGTAGACCAGGCTGGCCTCAAACTCACAGAGATTCGTCTGCCTCTACCTCCCAGAGTGCTGAGGTTAAAGGTATTCATTACCTTCATTATGTTGTTATTTCTAAGTTACAATACATCAAAATAGTAGAGAGATACTTCTAGAAAATACCAGCCTTTCCTTAGCACAATGAACCTGTAGTCTCTTTTAAATGTTCTTTTAGATAGAACTCACCATGTAACTCTGGCTGGCCAAGAACTCATCAAGAACTGCCTACCTGTGTCTTCCCTGCTTGGATTAAAGATGTGAGTCACCATACCCAGTCCGACCATCTCACTTTCCTTTTTGGGGGGACAGGATCTCTTGTAGCCCAGGATGACCTCAAACTCACTAAACAGTCAGGGCTGACCTTGAACCCCTGATCTTCCTTGCCTCTATCTCCTGAGTGCTGGGACTAAGGTATACACATCATCAAAGCTTGTTGCTCAGTCTTAAGCAAATTTATATACAGAATCAAGTGATGTTAAAAAAATCAGCTACAGAGCACAGTATACTATTTACACAAAGCCACAAGGGGTCTGGGGGGAGCCTCCCAGAGGCAGACACATCAGAAGGCAAGGAAAGTGCTATTTTGTTACTAGACCACTTCAGTGCACTAACCAGTGCCCCTTATTACACCTGGCCACCCACAAGGCAACCTTCAGTAGACTTCTGAGCAAAGGCAGGAGCCCAGGCACAACTGGCAGACAACATGGCTTATAGGAAGATTTGTCATGCAGCACGGTCAGACTGCCCAACGTTAGCAAACAGCTAGCACGGAAAGAAGTGGATGCCTACTACCCTCTGGTCCTTAGCTATGTCCACAAAATCGGAGCCCGAGACCCAGGAAAGAAAGATGATCTTCGTTTAGTATTTTTAAACCAAAGATAATGCTATTGTAGTGGAATAATAAAACAAACTGAATGCAGAAAGAAGGAAAAGCACTCATCTTTCCTAATATTTAACACATACATCAAAGTCAGATCTCCCCCATGGTTTGAAAGACTTGATTTTGTGTTAACTTCCCAGTGTTACCATGGTTCATTGTCCTGGTCATGTAGGCCCTGAGTCAGGGCCTATAAAATAAACTCCACAGAACATTCTGTCATGTGTCTTTCAAGCAGCAATAAATGACTTCAAGCCAAAATACTGCAAGCCTCAAGGTGAAGGGCCCATGTATTTGTTGCTTCTGAAAAAAAGGATGATTAATGAATGCTGATTTTCATTCAATTTTCTGAAAATAAAATGGGTGGCTAACATGACTGCAATAGTAAGTCACAGACTCACAAAGAACTTAGGAAGTGAATGTACCCTTTTATAAACTAAAGGAGAAAGAGGATGGGGCAGCACCCCAACTGTGCCTTTCAAAATCTGGTTTTAATGTAAGGCCTACTGAAGTTCAATTGAAGACCAGAACAAGAAAGCCAAGGACTCCTATGACAAGTATAGAAAGCCAAAGGCTCTATTACCTCAATAGACTATATTAAGGTAGCTACCATGCCTATTTACATAAGAGTCCAAAATTCTTACACAATATTCAATGCTAAATGTCTCACTTTGAACCAGTATCAAGGCTACAGTTCACATGCAATAATACTCCAGGAGCTCCAAACAGCAGGTCAAATAACCACGGTATAACCTCTATCCAGAGGACTAAATACTTTTTCAAAGAAAGTAATAAAAGATAAGTTTAGGAGCTAGAGACATAACTCGGAGGTTAAGAGTACATTATTGCTCTTGCAAAGAACCTGAGTTCTGTTCCCAACATCCACATCAGGCAGCTCCCAACTGCCTATAAATCCAATCCAAAGGACTTGAGGCCCTCTTCTGGCTTCCAAGCACACACATCTGGCATATAGTCAAACACACATAAATGAAAATAACAAAAAATAAAAAGATAAACTCAAAAGGAACAACCAAAATCCCTAAACCTTTCCCACCATTTAAGAATCCAAAGTCAAACAATTTTATATACTATCCATTAAGTCATCTATAGAACTAGATTACAACCACATCCTGATGCTATCTTACCATGCCTCTAAAGTTCTGACTCACCTTATACAAATGACAATGAGTTTTAAAATTAACTTACTAAGCACATGCATATATGTTTGTCTCTTTCTTTTTGAAGACATGGTCTCACTATGTAGACCTGGCTATATTGGAAGTCCCTAGGTAGACCAGGCTGGCCTTGAACTTGAGATCCGCCTGCCTCTCCTCCAGAGTACTGAGATTAAAGTTGTGCACCACCACAATAGGCCCCCACATACATATTCTTTTTTTTTTTTTAGGTTTTTTTTTTTTAAGACAGGATCTTACTATGTAGCCCTGGCTGTCCTGAAACTCAGAGATCGCCTGCCTCCTGGGATTAAAGGCATGGTCCAGCATGCCTGACCACATACATATTTTTACACATTCTTTTTTTCTCTTCTTAAAGGCAGATTCTTGGTTTCCCTAGGTTATCCTCAGACTCACTAAGAGTAGATGAGGATGATCTTGAGCTTCTGGCCTTCCTGCCTCCACCTTCTGAGTGCAAGGTTGGCACGAATCACTATGTCTGGTTTACTCAGAACTTGGTGGAGGCAGACAAAGACACTCTACCTACTGAGCCACATTCCCATCCCCTATAGTCCTATACATACAGTAGTAACTAACAAAGAAGTTAAAGTGACAAAGATTGAAACTGAAAAACTAACCAAGTCCCTGATTTCCAGGAACCATCAGTTGCTACCTAACATAAGCCTACAATGTACCTATTTGATTCTCACCACAAGGCTACTCTCAATATAGATACTCACAGGAGGCTCTAGTCTAGAAAACTCACGTTTAGTTCCCAGAAATGATTACCTAGAGGAAGTACACCCAACTACCAAGGTCAATGAAAACTTAGGAGAAAACTAATAAATCTTTTGAAGCCTAGCCTAATCTACTTCAGGGATGTGGTTAAGTGATGATGTGGTGCCCTTTTCACTTTGTGGCAGGGCTTAAGACAGACAGACCTGCCCGCTTCACTGTTAACTTCAATGCTCCCAGTCTGAATCCACAGTGGTCTGTCAGACACTGTAAGGGAGCAGCAGGACTCGTCACTGTCTGATGTAATAGCTGCCATTTGTTGAGACCTATGGTAGAAAAAACCAAGTTAACAAAAATAGAGCAGTCAGTTGAGATCTTTTTAATCTATCTTATAAAAATTTTTTTTAAAAAAAGATCAAAATTAATTTAAACTTCCTAATGGGTTTATTCTGGAGAACTTGCCAGCTTCCAACAACAAAGCTTTGGTACTGCAGAGCTTCATAGCCATGTGGGTACCCCAACCATGGCCAGGAGAGGGCACTCTTGTGTGCACATCCCATTAGATGCAGAACGCAACATGGCAAGGTGCCCTCCAATAAGCCTATAAATGGAAGAGGAAATGCTAACTCACATTTTATGTCCTTGAGCACAAAAAAAAAAGGAAAAGAAAAAGAAAAAAGAAAAGAAACAAAAACAAAAAGTAAACAGTTTACTGTCTAACACTATTCTGTTCTTGGAGTCTTGACCTGGACAGTTCAGAGGGCTGAAGTTTTCACCTCCTGCATATTACATCATTCAGAAGCTCAAAGACCATCACAAGCCCTTTCTGCTTGAGTGTTAATGATCGCTCTTGCATAGCTTCAGGTTCTAACTGGTTGAGGAGAACAGGTTTTATTAACATGATAAATTTTCTGAGAACAGAACCTTAAATGTTGAGCAAAATTCAAATAAAAGACTACTACAGGCTGGGGTTGGCCCAGAACTCTGTTGCCCTCAAACTCCTAACCTTGGTTTTTTAGGTGCTGGGATTACAGGCATGAGGCAGCACATCCTGCTGTAAGTTTTATATTTTAAAGGTTGCGTGCATACTTCTATCAGTACAGCCAGCTCTGGGATCATTCTATTATTTATTTTTATAATTCATAATCAGAGCCAGGTGGTGGTGGTACATGACTTTAATCCCAGCACTCAGGAGACAGGCAGGTGGATCTCTGTGAGTTTGAGGACAGCCTAGTCTACAAAATGAGTTCCAAGACAGTCAGGGATACACCGGGAAAACCTGTCTTGAAAAACTTTAAAAAAAAAAAAAATCAGGCAGGGCATGGCTATGCATAGCCTTAAATCTCAGCAAAAGCAAAGGCAGGTGGATCTCTAACAAAGCAAGTTGCAGCACAGCCAGAGCTATGTAGTGAGGCCTTGTCTCAATAAATTAAAATTCCAGATCAGAAGCAGTACAGTTGTAAATTATAAAAATTTCTAAAGTAAGCTTTCCTGCCACAAAAAGCCCAATGTATAAATACAATTACCTCTGAATTCTAGTTTAGAGGAAAATAATTCTTTAAAAAATGAGGTTCAATAGTAAGGTTTTACATGGGAGTCTGAGTACACTGTTAACTAAAGCAACTGCAACTACACAGGAAAAAAAGAGTCAGCACACTAAAGCTTGTTCTGGGAAATGTCTATCATGAGATAAACTTCCAGCCACCACCTAAGCTATGGACAGTGGGCAGACGCTGAGGGAGTTACCCCTTCCCCCACGGTGAGTGTGTGTTTCTTGAAACAGGGTCTCTCTACGTGACTGGCTATCCTGAAACTTGCTATGTAGACCAGGTTGACCCAGAACTCAGGTACATCTGCTTCTAGCTCACAAGTGCTGGGATAAAAGGTGTGCACCACCATGCTAAACGTCAG